ATATATATATATATATATATAAACACACAATTTGTTTTTGCCTCTCGTAAGATCGCCGGTCCAGAAGGTTGAGGAAAGATTTAATTTGCTCGAGCATAAAACGACGAATATTTACGTCGATTGGAAATACGCGCTTACAGCGCTTAGAGAGAATATCAGCTACCACGAATGAACGCGGCGGTACTTATCGCTCGTACAATTAAAATAACCACAGACAAGATAGTAAGCGTAATAAATGATCGGAACGAGATCCTGATGTATAATGACCAGACGCGGATCATTTTTCATGCGAGCCGTTGATTGGGTATGCACGCGCTGTCGAGAAACATTCATCACGCGTGCATTAAACATAATTCAGCGCGAGATCTCGTGTACGTCGTGATAGCCGCGTGGTAACCGCGGACGCGGGCTGAGCCCGCTGGAGAAAAAGCCGAGGGAAAAACGTAGTCGGTCGGACACACGGTGTCCTACCTACATTAGTTGAAATCGTCTCGTTATAAAATGCGAGGGACAGGCATCGATGGTAGCGGGCAGAGTCTGCAAGAATAAACAAGAGGGACAGATATAGAGGAGGGGCCCCTGCTACAGGGGATGTGCGACAAAAATCGTGGGCAAGCATCACTGTTAAATGTTAACAACTGGAGAATTCCAAAGGAGACGCGGCCCTTTGATACGCGCTGCGGTGGCGGGAAGGAAAGGCGGGGGTCCGTCGAGAGCCAGGTTTAAGACACATGCCTGCTTGCTAAGTAGCGGCTTCTGCCGGCGCGTCTACGCGTCTTCGGCCTCCGAGCGCTTCGTCTCTCGCATTGCCGAAGACGACGAAGACAACGACGACGACGACGACGACGACGACGACGACTGATGTCGGTTCGCTTTGCCGTGGGCCACGGCTCTTCGTCTACGTCTCGCGACGATTGATGGCCCTCGTGCTACGTGGCTTTCGTTCTCTCTTCTTCGCTCGTTCCCTCCCTCTTCTTTTCACCTTCCTTCTCAACACCTCCTCGCCCCTCGCTCCCCCCACCCCTACATCGCTGCTATTTCATTCCTTTCCTCTCCTTCTCCCTCTACCCGAACCTGCCAGCCGGAACCGCAGTTATTCGAACATCTTACATTTATGGAATATCTTGAAATCTCCGTTTCACTCCGGCTCGACGGTCAGCAATCAACCGATTGTTTCCGCTGCTTCTTCGCGATCCGATACCGACGAAAGCCTTTATCTCCCGCAACATCTTGACTTTTCGGCTACGGAATACGTAGCACCGCCGCGCCGGCTCAAGCTTACCGGCGGTTCCAACGATAACGAGGGATAAATACACGTTGCCCAGGCGTAAGGTTAGGTTCGCGTATCTCCACTCTCGTTGCGAATAACATAATTTTCGAATTATCTTTCTGTGATAAAACGCTAAAGCTTGCTGGGTAAATGATCAACTTTTATTAACGTTTCACACAGCGGACACGATGCGCGAGACACCAATTATTCGACTTGCGTTAACAAGCAGTTCGGCCGTAGTTTGTTATTCGATTTTTCTTTAAATTACGTTAACCGGCTGCAAAGGCGATCAGCTCCGTTTTATGAATCAACTCTGCTCTCTTAAACGCGCAGCTAAAAACTGCACGACGTGATTTACGAGATCCAGATGTACGCGCTCCCGATGGATATGGGTAGTTGAAAGCCGGATGGAAGCGTGTATAACCATTAATTACGCCATTTGCCAAGCCAGGGATGAGCATTTGACGATTGCGATTTCTCATTCATTCGCGTGGATTCTGTCGCGGGTTTTGTCGATGTTATTTGAAAATACAATGTTTAAAAGCTTGCGAGACTATTCAACAACATTATCTCCTTTCAAGCCAGATTCAAGATTCACTAGTATTAAAAATAACAGCAACATCCGGATTATTGATACTGATCGATAATGATAAAAGTTATCTAAAAAAAAAAAAAAAAGAAAAAAAGTATTGAATTTATCAAAATAGTCCGAGTGTCTTGCACTCAGCGTGTTCAGATTTGACGTACGTATTTTCCAAGGAAATACCTACAAATCGCTTAACCATTTCCGCCTCTCTCCTCCCCCCTCCTCCCCTCCATCCCTTTTCCAATGTTCGCAACTTGGTCCCACCTCCTCGACTTCTTCACCTCGAATGCCCAATCTCGTGGCACGTAATGGAGAGTGCAGGGTCTCCACGTTGAATCTGACAAGCTTTTTCTG